AAATTAAATAGATTAAATATAACTCTTAATTACTAATTTAAGTACTACAGAACGCAATGCTAAATTAGCACTACAATAGTATATTTTGGTTATTGACTTATTTCATTAAGCATTTGATAAAGATTTAAAAAATTTAGAGATAATTATTCTAAATTAGACTAGATCAGTTGAATTATTAGATAATAATTTAAGTGAATAGTCCTTTAGTTGTAACCTTACCTAATAACAAAAATATAAAGAATTATTGTATCTTAATTTAAACGCTTATGAGATATAGTTTGTTGTAGTAAATCGCTTCAAACTATTTTAGATTAAACGTTTTATATTTCCTTTATAAATTCTAAGGTTTATATATTCGTCTTAAGGCTCTATTCAAAATATTTTACCAAATACTCTTTTATTTAATCTTAATCAAATTCATAATTAAACTTCTAAAGTTTTAAAGAGTTTCTCCATAAAACTTGGTTTTTTATCCTACAAATTTATGTATTTCATTTCTATTTTGATTTCTTTGAGTCTTTATAATTTATTAATTCAATCTTATTAATCTCATCATAACTATCTAAATAATTATAAATGTCTCATACCAAAACAAGAGCTTGAGTCTATTCTGATTAAATTCCAGATATTCTAACACTTTGTAAAGAGCCCTACATCAATACATGTGAAATAATAGATAAGATTGGAAAACCTTATGGGAAGGATTTTCATTTTTATCATTAAGTTGTTGTTATTACATTTAATATTTTTAAGTCAAGTTCGCCTATGATGTGTATTTCAAGAATGATTGTCCTTATTTTTACCTCAAATTATCCTAATTTTGACACATAACTTCTGATTCAAAATATTTAGATTATTTATTTATCATACAGAGCTAACACGTTGAGTTGAGTGCTTTGTAAGCATTTGAGATATTCTTTTGTTTTCAACTTAATCATAATTTATCCAAGTTGGATTAGGCACTGTCTTAACTATATATCTAACCATAATTATGATGTTTCTTGTTTATAAAAATCTTGAACAAAAGACTAAAAATACTTGTTAAAAATAGATACATTAATATTGTTATGAAATAAATATATAAAAATTAAATTAAACTATAAATAATAATATACTTAAAAATCATATTAATAATATTTTGTGAGCCAATAAAATTATGCAATTAGAAAAACAGAAAAGAATTAATATTAAATTAATCTACTGAAAATGGCATAATTGGTTAAAATCATTAATATAAGTGAAGGAGTAGAATTCCGCAAATTAGAAGGATATCCAGTTATTAGAGTTTGATATGACTGATAATAAGGTTTGGAATTTTGCTGATGAATTGGCAACACATGAGAACTTAAATGCTTAAATCTTTTGAAGATATTAAACATAAATGACAGTCTTTTTAATAGCGTCAAAGGTTTATTAAAGATGAGGTTTAAATTATATGAAAAGGATGCTGTATTTGTTATAGTGGAAATACAGAATATTTAAAAAAGATAAAATGATAATTTCTTAATAGAAGGTATAGCACAGAATTAAAGAGATCTAGAAGCCAAAAATTCATAGAAATTAATCAAATAAAAAAGATTTTAATTAGTACGACTATTAAAAACTATATAAAATGTTGATTATATTTAGCTTGGCAGAACAATCTAACAGTTAACATTTACGAGTATATTGAATTCTAATTTGATTAATGTACAGAAGAAATATCAATTAAAATGATAATGTCAAGGTCAGGGACTAGTCTATGGCTGATTAATTGGTTAGGAAAGTTTTATGGCATTTATAAAAGAATCGAAGTTAATATATTTAAAAGCAATATTAAAATTTTAAATCAAACAGAAAATAATATATATCTAGGAAATTATATGGTTTCTGTAGATAATATTAATATTTGGAGTAAGGGTATGTAACAAAAACCTTTATTGTTCGTATTACAATAATGAAGGTGTAATGAAGATACATGGTGTTTATTCAACCTTTTCTATGTCTCAACAACTGCAGAAATATTTAAAACTGGTACTACATTGAAGTTAATATTGACTAAACTTAAATTCAAAAGCTAGAAGTAGAATCTCAAAATTTTCAAGAGTTCATACCATTAAACTTTTTTTTTTACTCCAGAAATACAAAATTAATCATAAAGCCTGCTTGAAGATTTAATTTAATTGAAATTGGAAAATTAAGATATCATTATTTGAATAGTTCCATCATATCATAATATAAAGTATATTCTAGTTATTACAATATTATATAGAATTTTTATCAAATATTCATTGAAAAAATTAGAAGGATATCAAAAAATAAATGCATCAACATAATAAATAGTTGATTTTGATTAATAGTCATGGGGGATGTGCTGGAGGTCATAATTAATATGCTTTGGATTATTTATAAAGAGTAGGATTAATGAGTAGTTCAAATTATCCATATGTTGCTAAGAACTAAACTTGCAAATAAACTAATTTCTTTATCAATGGTTATACATATATTGGAGGATCTGTATATCAATATCTGAGTGATTATCTAGTATCAGTTGGTATTGTTGCAACTAATTGGTAATTTTATTCATCAGGATTATTTAGGAATTGCTCATCAAATCCAAATGCAACTAATCATAATAGTTAAAAAATACTTTTTTTGCAATCTACAAAAATAATTTGAGAACTTTAATCACTCAGAAAAAAACTATTACAATTTATAATTTAACGAAGCAATCTAAATTTTTTTTTTTTTNATTAGATTATAATGTATTTTAAATTTATTAAATTTTAGATTAGCATTAAAAATATAAGATCAAAATTACAATAATGTAAATTTAAAAGCACATCAGAATAAGGAACTGCCTCAAAAATAACTTTAATTAATGATGTATTTATTCGATCTATTTTCAAGATATATGATGATTTAACAAAAAGATAAAATTTCATCAAAGATAAACTTGGAGAAGAGATGTATTCACAATTCTTAAATAAGAAACTAGATTTTAATAAAATGTACAAGGCAGCATTCAAATATCATTAAGATCCCACTTTAACATTAATGGAACCCTATTGAAGTTTTATTAAAATAATCTATATAATTATTCATATTATTATTATTACTCTAATATATTAATTAATATTTATTCTAATTGAAAGAGTTCATGTTAGAGCATTTAGATCAATATTTTAATTGATTGTAAAAGAATATAATAATTAAAAATAAATTAATAAGTAATATATATTTTTATTTTATTACTAAAAAATAAATAAATAATATTTAAAGATAAAGAATAAGTCGAAAACTATAATTAATTAATTTAGTAAACTATAGTATCTTAAAATAAAGCTAAGATAATAAATTTATAAGTTTAATATATATATATATAAGATTGTTTTATTAAAATATTTCTAAAGAACTTATATTTAAAATCTTAATGATTATTATTAATTTTGTAAATAGAATAAACGATTATAGACTTAATAGTATGAATAAGATTTTCCATAAGCAAATATTTTGGATTAATGAGAAAATGAAAAAAATGTAATATTTATAATTTTGATGAAATAATTTTTAGTAGCTGCTTTAACAATTTTATTCATGACAACAGGATATTACCATTTATCTGTTAATAATAAATCAGATTTTGAAAATTGGGCTTTAAAAAATAACAAATACTATACAGATAAGGAAAAGTTGTTTAGAATGGAAATCTATAATTCTAACAAAAAAATGATTGAATAACACAACTAAAGAGAAGATGTGAGTTATAAAATGGGAGAAAATCAATTTATGAGTCTTACTAATGAAGAATTCCTTGAGCTTTATTTATAAAAATAAGATGATTTAAAAGATATAATATAATAGGAAATACAAGAAATAAAATATTAAAGATTAACTGCTGTGGATTGGAGAAACTACACTACAGTAAAAAATCAAGGAGAATGTAATTCAGGATGGGCATTTTCTGTAAGTAATTCATTAGAATCATGGTATGCTATAAAAGGATTTCAAAAAATAAATGCATCAACATAATAAATAGTTGATTGTGATTAATAGTCATGGGGATGTGCTGGAGGTCATAATTAATATGCTTTGGATTATGTATAAAGAGTAGGATTAATGAGTAGTTCAAATTATCCATATGTTGCTAAGAACTAAACTTGTAAATAAACTAGAAATGGTACTTTCTTTATTAATGGTTATACATATATTGGAGGATCATAATGGTCTGTATATCAATATCTGAGTGATTATCCAGTATCAGTTGGTATTGATGCAACTAATTGGTAATTTTATTCATCAGGATTATTTAGGAATTGCTCATCAAATCCAAATGCAACTAATCATAATAGTTAAAAAATACTTTTTTTGCAATCTACAAAAATAATTTGAGAACTTTAATCACTCAGAAAAAAACTATTACAATTTATAATTTAACAAAGCAATCTAAATTTTTTTTTTTTTTTCTTCTATCTAATTAATAAGATATATAACTAAATCACAACCTTATATTCACATAAATATAACGGGAAGCTTATATATAACAGACATTATCTAAAAATTATAGAATAAATATATTGATAAGTGACAAGATTTAATTCAGATATAAATTACATAATATATCATATTTATAGAATAAATATAAATCTTAAGCTTATCATATACTTTACTCATAAATGAAATACTTAAAATATTGATTTTATAAATAATAATTATTTATACAAAATATTGATTTTTAATCAAATTTATTTTGTGATAATAAACAGTTGTTATGATTTTTTTCATTTAATTTTTATTTTGATTAATACAATATTAAATTCTAGAAATTTAAGCTAAAATTTTCTGTTATATGTTATTTTTTCCTCTAAGAACAAGAAAATTTAAAATATAGAGATTTAAATAAATTGACATAGAGAATATATCCATTTATTATTGCTAAATATATTATTTTTGACAAAATAACAATAACATAGTAAATTAATACAATTTTAATCACTAAAAACAACTATAATGTTCTTTTAAAATTGTATTTCCTGCAAGAATTTAATTTAATTGATAAATTTATAATAACAATTTTAATGTAAAATATTTTGTAGAATTAAATTGAACAAATGTGGAATTAAGTTATTCTATATTGAATTATTCTTAATCGAATTCCTAATCTGAAAATGATATTATTAATTAATGCTTCGATAAATCTTAGCAACAGCAGCAATAACACTTCTTTTGATTACAAATAACTATCAAACTTCATCATAATCACAATCTGAGTTTGAAATATGGTCTTAAAAGCATCATAAGACTTATTTAGGTTAAGAGAAAATATATAGAGAAGGAGTTTATTAGAGAAATAAAAAAATGATTGAAGAGCACAATATAGTAGAATCCAGATCATATGATATGGGTGAGAATCAATTCATGGCATTGACAAAAGAAGAATTTATTTTATTATATTTAAATTAATTGGATGCTCCATAAATAGTAGAATAACAACCATAAGAAACAATTTTAAATATTGATGAACCACTTAAGGAGATCGATTGGAGTTCCTATACAACTATAAAAGAGTAAGGATTATGTGGAGCTGGTTGGGCTTTTTCCGTTAGTAATTCTATAGAAGCTTGGTATGGAATAAGAGGAAGAAGAAGTATTATAGCATCGGCTTAATAATTAATTGATTGCGACTTATATTCAAAAGGATGTTATGGAGGATATAATTATAATGCTATGCATTATGTTTAATAAACTGGATTAATGAGTGGTGTCTATTATCCTTATGTTGGCTAATAAGAAGGATGCAGATACAATAGTGGAGAATTTAGAATTAACAATTATTAGTTCGTAGGTAATTAACAATCAACTTTACAACATTATTTATAAAATTATCCAGTCTCTGTTGGTGTTGATGCATCAAATTGGTAATTCTATAAAAATGGTACCTTTTTTGATTGTGGATAAACTGTGAATCATTATGCTTTGGCAGTAGGATTCGATTTTGGATACAATTGGATTGTTTAGAATTCTTGGGGCTATGGATGGGGAGAAAATGGAACTATTAAGTTATCTCCAAATAATACCTGTGGTATACTCAGTTAAGCATATTAGATTGTTTGAAAAGTATAAACATAATATCAAAACAATATAATCTTAAATATAACATTATATATCCTCTCCCTCACTTATTACATAAATTATATTTATAAATCTAATTAAATAAGTATGATCATTTATCAATTAATCTTAATTAAAATAGGTAAAAAATTTTTACTTTAATTGTTTTTTTTTATAATATTTTCATTTTAATTTATTAATAAAATTTTATACTTTAATTCTTTTCTTTTTTTTACAATTTATAATTACCAGAGCATGTAATTAATCTATAGTATATATATAATAGATATATATAATCAAAATAAAAGAAAAATACTCAGAAAGATGAATTCTCTTAAATTGAAATAGACTCTTAGGTATAAGCTGTTTCAAATCAATTTAATAGTATTATTATAGAAAAAAAGTCTTAAAAATAAATATTATTTGTGATTTCTTGAATTTCATATTAGATTGATATTTTTATCATTCTTCTAAAGATAAGACAGATTTTTATATTTTATGTTGAAATAATAAATACTCAGCTAAAAAGAACTAGAATATTTGTCTAATAATTAATATTATGACAATTAAGTAAAATCTGATAATATTCCTAAACTATCTTCAATAAAATAAAAGCATAACTGGATAAATTATTTTTAATAAAAAAAATTAAAATTCTGAAATGGTAATTTTTATAATATTACTTCATGACTTAAATTCTGTTTTTTTTT